CTGCAGGATGCTAGAGGACACACAGTCAGGAAGAGCTCAATGTACACTGAACAAAAATATAAATGCAACACTTTTGTTTTTGCTCCCATTTTTCATGAGATGAACTCAAAGATCTAAAACATTTTCTATATACACGAAATAACCATTTCTCTCAAATATTGTTCACAAATCTGAAAAAATCTGTGATAGTGAGCACTTCTCCTTTGCCGAGATAATCCATCCCACCTCACAGGTGTGGCATATCAAGATGCTGATTAGACAGCATGATTATTGCACAGGTGTGCCTTAGACTGGCCACAATAAAAGGCCACTCTGAAACGTGCAGTTTTGCTTTATTGNGTCACGGCCGGATTTGGCCCCCGGGCCTGAGTTTGACACCCGCTGTCTAAAGTGAGGCTCCATACAGCTAAAAAAGAAAAAGACAAGCACAGTGTAATGCGCTTGTTATTAGCTTTGCCCAGGGCATTAGGCTCAGTTAAAACTAGAGAGCACAGCTGTTGTGCAATACATTTTTATTGCATGTATATTTTTTTATTTGTAAAAATGTCAGTTAAAGTTTAAAAGAATAAAGATATTTTTGTTATCTAAACATTTGACCTCTTTCTTTTACAATTTTGGAATTGAAACGGGGAATCGATAAGAACCGGAATCGATAAGCAGAACCAGAATCGATACATTTCAAACGATACCCATCCCTAGCGTTAAGTGATACTACTTTCGTGTTCGGGAAGATGAAACTCACCAACAGATCCACGTTTTCTTTGCGTCCCAGAGAGCCGTGCTCCACCCTCTCGCTGCACGGGGCGAGGATGTACGGGCTCTGACCTTCAGAGGGCTTCATGTTGGGCAGGCTGAGCGACCGCAAGTCCTTCACCCCCTGCTCCACCTTCAGCTCATCCCCTACCCGTGCTGAAGGAAAAACAAGGAGGTTTAACGGTCTGGGGAACAGACTCTTGTAAAATATACACAGCCCTCAGATCATTATTTTTCTCTGTTTTGTTTTTGAGTCATTTTAAATTGACTCCAAAAGTATTGGACGTTAAATCCATTTATAATCTCTTTTACATATTGTAGAAGAAATAGAATGATTGTGGCCTTACATTGAACCAGTAATCAAATACATTTTGGCCACTTGAGGGTAGCAGACACGAGGAATCGACATAAAATCGACTGATATGCCAAACGTATTATGTAACTGTTAATTCACACATCCAGCAGATACAGAGAAACCTTATATTTAAAGTGAAGTTCAGTATTCATTTGTCGGTGTAGCTGCGAATTGCTTACCTACCAGCTGGATGCTAACTTTGTCTGTCTGCTGTTAGCTGCTGGCCATGTACAAGGCATACTTTTTAAAGCTTTTCCCCTGAAAACAACGCTATAGGAGCAGTGACAGTGAACCAAAACACAAATGTTGCGGGGCTGAAAACAATGAAGTGAAAAACAATAAACAGGTCCATGTAGCGAAGGGAAACTGCAGATAACACCATTCTGTGGCTTTAATACTACAAGTGACACATTTTCACCAAAAACGTGTTATGCTATCCTTTGTCAATACGGTACATGGCCAAATTCATATTTGTTAAAGCTTAGGGAAAAGAAATAGATCGGATTGAGTGTTAGCAACATAGGAAGAGCAGAATAATACAATTTCTCAGTCATAGTCGACTGAAAACCTGACCACGTGTCGAAACAGCTGTGGACAGTTTGACCTCTGTCTTTCCGACTGCATGTAACTCCAGACCGCATGTGGGAGGGTGACAATTTCAAAAGAAAACAATTAGTCATGGCATGGGATCTCTTTTATGGGCGGCTTAAATGGGCTTTTGATCCCGAAACGGCAGCAAGTGCAACTGCAGCGGTCGCAGAGCAGAGGCAGCGCTCCCACTTTCCACTGCGGCATCATGGGAAAGCTGGCATCATCATGCTGCGACTGCATTATTACATCGGGAGTCAATGACACTTCTGGAGAGGATTGAGCGGTAGTGGAAGTTTTTTTTCTTCTTCTTGTAGTTCTGATATCTTTCATAGCATACAGTTCACTACTTTTTTCTCCGAGTCAGAAATGTGGGTGTGAGAGGAAACCGTTCTCCGCCATCTGTCCTGCTCCGTCATTGTTAAAGGCCACATATAAGAATGGTGTGTCTAAAATTGCACTTATTGTAAGTTGCTTTTGGATAAATGTAACAAAAAATGTAAAATACACCGACTGACAGGCTCCCTACTTTCTATGAACAAACGCTTTTAAAAAACCACCTGTACGAACAAATGCCAAACTTCATTGCATCTCATCAAAAGGTGTTAGTCTGTGGAATAACTATGAAACTGAAATATTGTACAAGTCTATCTAAACTGAAAGTATTATTTAGAAGCCAAATCATTAATGGTTACGAACAGGACCTGTAAAATCTCATTTGTTGTTATTTCTTGTAATTGTAAAAGTAATTTATTTCTGATTGTTTTGTCAAAAAGCAAACAAGACAAACATGTCGCTGATGACGATGATCTAATATTTTATTTATAAGAAAAATATATGCTAGAGGGGGTTGGACCAGAAAAGTTTTTTTAAGCTTCTTCTTGCCCCTGTTGAACATGACAGAGACTATTTGAGAATTATTATTGTTTTTTGTTTTGTTTTTTTGTTGTTGTTGTTATTATTATTATTTTTTGTACTTTGTTATAATTATTAATTTGAGTGAGAAGGAAAAAAAAAAAAAAAAAGAAAAGAATATATATATACATTATTGTTGTATGTTTTTGTTTCTGACATGTTCAATAAACTGACTAAAAAAATAAATTTAAAAAATAGCGGCTGTTTTCATTTATTCCTCCAGTGTATCTGTTTGTTGTCTGTCGTTTAACAAAAATCCAACACCTCAATGATAATCTTTAACTAATTGGAAATAAGTTAGACATGCAGCAATGACTAATTTGCTTACGGCAATGTTGTTAGTCATTTACAAGAAAGAAGATCTGGTTGATAGCGTGAGAACGTCACAATGAGCAACATTTAACTTAAACCCCGTGTGAAAATCTCACTTTTTTTGAAACCATTTAGTTAACTAATAGAATCAGGAAATAAAAGGAAAAAGACATTAGGGGGTATTAAGTAAAAACACATGTCAAATCAACAACAATATCAGAGTTCAAAGTCAAACATGGGGAATCTTTAATAACACTTTTAAACTCCTTTGACTAAATGATTGTTTGACAATATAACAAATTATATTTTTAACAAGCCTACTTAAAGTATATAATTGCTTCTTTAAACATGGTCCCACTGTGAGTCATTTAAAGTCAGAAAAACTGAGAAAATTGTCTTTGAATGGAGAGCTTCTGTACGGTAAGTTAATATTGCATTTTCTAATTTGCTTCAATATCCTTTACTAAGTCTCACTGCTACGATCTGGCTCGTCTCTCCCCCTCAATGCGAGTCTAATAAAAACGCTGCCTTTTCTCAGAAGTTAGATTTCAGACACAGTCGTCAATCTGCAGTTATAAATCAGGCTTAGCGTCTGCATGTAAGAATTTACTCTCATATTTTATGCCTCTAAACAGGAACGCCTCAAAATAGATGTTGGATGAGCCCAAATACGCAATTTTTAGAGCAGACTAAAGGTTATGCTTAACGCCTAAAGCAGGGGTGGGGAATAATTAATTTATAAACACACGCAAAAAAGAAAAGAATTCAAGAAATCTAGACCGCAAAATAACAAGCGATTGCCTGTTTTTCCTGGCCAAGGTCAGGGTCTTTGAACACAACACGAGCCTAACGTGTCATCACGTGGTATATGTCTCGTCTGACAGGGGTGTAGTTCTAACGGAGAGCACCAGAACGCGGTTCCGGGCCGGGACGCGTCTATCGTTTATTCCAAGAATATCCATAAAGAAAAAAAATCTGCTTACAGTTTTGTTTCATATGGGTGTTGAGAGATGTATCCATAGATCTATTAATTTTACTCTCAAAGTGCACGAGATTGATGCTTTTAACTTCAACATTAAAAAAAAATCTTCCTGGTTATTTGCAAATTATGGTGGAAAATAAGTATTTGGTCAATAACAAAAGTTCATATCAATACTTTGTTATATACCCTTTGTTGGCAATGACAGAGGTCAAACGTCCCCCCCCACTTAAATCATATCCACATGGATATGAAACTAAATACATTTGCGTACATCTTGTGTCCATATATTTCTGTTTTGGAGGTCATGCCACGGTGCATGCATGTGCGGGTCATCATGGTCAAATATCTGGATTAAGAGGTTGCTTTTTCTTTGCACAGCATGAAAGAAAGGCGAAATGAATGGGCTGTGATTTTAGTTTTTTAAGCAGACGTTGAGTTCAATCATTTGTACGGCCCTCGGAGGATGTTGGAAAAATTGAAATGGCCCTTGAGAGGAAAAAGGTTCCCCACCCCTGGTTTAAACCAAGCAGCAGGGGCGGATCTAGACAAATATTCATGGTGTGGCAAGAGGGTGGCAGGAGATTTTGAGGGGTGGCATCCCCTGGCAGAAGTACATGCTGATTTAATCGCAGTCATATCAATCAATGTTAACTTGGAAAGCCACAATATTCATATTTTAACTCAATACATTAGGTGACATTATTGTGGCACATCAGTAAACCGCTTACATATAAATATATAATGTGGCAGACATAATTTAAATGAATTTTAACTGAACAAAACTGAATGAGTTTTGTCTCACTCTTAGCCAGGCAGGGGTACCAAATCTATGCAGACTGCTGCAATAAGTACAATTAATTAACTGTCTCATCAAATGTTTGTCTGAATGAATATGATACCTATTAACAATCATATTTATTCCTATCAGCTGTCAATCACTGTTAGGATTCACTATAGTCATTTATTATTGAATAAACTATATTTTTTGGAGGAGTTAATAATGAATGTTCCTCAAATGCTTGCTCAACCTCCTTCACATTTGAAAGACAAGTAATTATATCATGTATCAAAATCAAAGATTCAAAGGAATAGCTTCAGCGCCACACAACTTTACTGCAACAGTTACAACCTGGATTTACATCAGAAAGACCAAACCATTAAAGAAAGTGAATAACT